TCTACCAGTTCTTATTCAAATCCAATCAAGTTTCCCCAGTAGAGCAAATACCTTCAGAGCAAATAAAACTTAAGCGCTCCTTTAGTCATACAGATTTTCAGCTTCCCCTTGGATTCTGACATATCAATTCTTAACTACCTTTTAATTTTTCTTTTAAATACAACGTTCCTGGCTATTTTTAGGGTGCAGGTTTTTCCAAATATCTTAACTATATTCCCAAACTGAAAATCCTACCTTAACTTTTTAGGTTAAAATTAACTCTCGGGAGTTAAGACAGGATTTGCAAAAACTAAGACAGTCTGATATAGTCTGCATTAAAGTAGCTTCAGTATTACTTGTGTCCTCGGGTGATTTACTGTAGATATTCAAGACTTAAATAACACATTATACTACTATTAAAAATTTACTTTAGAAAAAAAATTAAACATTAATTTGAGGGGGACTCTAGTTTTAAAAGAAGCATGGGTGGGTGATTGCTCTCTTAGGTATGGAGGCTCTTTATACAACTAAAGTAAATAAGACTGTGGGAAGGATACACAGAGACCTAAGGAAAAAGAGCCCAGAAACCTATGATACTTATGGATCACTGGGAGGAAAAACAGAATAATCAATAAATGATGCTGGAAAAAAGGTTACCCATATGGAAAATCAAAAACTCAAAAACTATGCCCACTTCATACCCCACAAAAATCATTTTCACATGGATTAAGACATAAATATGAAAGGCAACATTTTCAAGCTTTTAGAAGAAAATATCAGACTATGTCTTTATGACCTCAAGGAAGGGAAAGGTTTGTTAAACAAGATGCCAAAAGCACTCACCGTAAGGAAAAGGCTGACATATTCAACTACATTAAACTAGAGAATGTGTCCACCAGAAACCTCTATAAAGTAAGAAGACAAGCTATTTACTAGGAAAAAGATATTTGCCACACGTATAACTGACAAAGAATTATCACCCAGAATATGTTTTCAAAAAAACCAAACTTCTAGAAATCAACTTTAAAAAGATTTTTTTTTTAATATGAAAAAACAGGCAAAAGATATAGACATCCCACAGAAGAGGAATTATAAAAGGTTCAACATCATTAGTAATTAAGGAAACATAAATTAAACTCCCCGTGGGGAACCATTTCTCACCCACCAGACTGTTAAAAAGAAAAAATTCAGATAATTACAAATGTTGTTATACAAATGTCTCAATGTTGTTGAGAAAGCAAATAATGCCAACACTGCTTGTCAGAGTGTAAACTGGTACAACCGCTTTATAAAACATTTTATTATCTAGCGAAACTGAAGATCCACAACTCTCCTAGGCAAAAAGCCAGGGAAATTCTTGCATATGTACACAAAGAAACATAGACTAGAATGGTCAGAACAAGCCAGTTTTTAAAGGCGAAAAGTAAAAATTAAATTAAAAAAGGAAACTGAAGACTCCCTCAAATACCCATTAACAGGAAGATGGATAAACAGTGCTAAAGTCGTACAATGAAATGAAACGCAGCAACAGAAAGTAAACGACCATAACGCGTCCACATAGATGAATCTCACAAATATACTGTGTGCCAAAAAAAGGTGAGAGAACAGACAAAACTAAATAATACATGATTTAGGAGCATATAAATATGTAGTAAAACTATACAGAAAACCAAGGAGCATGGAAAGAGAAAGATACAATCAGGGAGAAAGACACACTCGATCTTTCAAATATACTACGTATTATTTCTAAAGTATGACATGGGTACAGGGCCATGTATTTTATTTGTATTCTCTAAATTTGTAGATGTGTCAAAGTACTGTTTTGCACATATAAATCATTTCTCATTTAAGAATTAAGTAAATACATGGTTATAGTAGAAAATAAGATACAGAAAACTATATAAACAAAGGAAAAATATCCATAATCCCATCACTTTGAGATAACTACAGTATTTAAAAGAAATACATAATTGACCCTTGAAAAACACCTATTTGAATTGCATGAGTCCACTTATATGTGGCTTTTTTCAATAGCGTAAATGTATTTTCTCTTATGATTTTCTTAACAATTTCTAGAGTTTACTGTAAGAATACAGTATATAATACACATAACATATAAAATATGCATTAATCAACTGTTTATGTTTATTGCCAAGGCTCTGGTCAACAGCAGGCTATTAGTAAAGTTTTGGGGGAATCAAAAGTTATGTGTGGATTTTCCATTGTGTGGGAGGTTAGCATCCCTAAATCCCATGTTGTTCAAGGGTCAACTGTATACTTACACTTAAATGGTGTGTCTTCTTTCACTCTCTACTTTTATTTACTCTTTTTTATAGCTTTATTAAGGTACAACTTACAGTAAATTGCACAATTTAAAATGTACAATTAAATGAGTCAGACATATGTGTACATTGATAAAAGCGTCTTCACAGTCAAGAAAACGAATACATCATGCCCCAAAGTTTCCTCATACCCCTTTTAACTCATCATCCTTCCTTACTTGCCCTTGTCCCCATCCTTGAGTATCGACTGATCCGTTTTCTATACTCTAGACTATTCTGCATTTTCTAGAATTTTGTCAGGTATAGTTTGAGTGTAATTTACGCATGTGTTGCACTTTAGTAGATACTGCCGGGAAGTTTTCCAAACTAATGGCACTAATTTAACTTCTACCAGCAGAGAACCAGAGTTCCAGTTGCTCCACAACCTTATCAACCTGTCCTTTTCCAACTTTAGCTATTCTTTTAATATGCCTAAGGAAAATACACATAAAATTACTTATCTGAAAAACAACAAAAAAATCTAAACTTTCAATGAAGATTGAAGCGGAACTCATTATAATGAAATTTTAATCTAAGAGCATTTTCCCTTGAATGCAAAGGCCTGAAGCGATATATGCTTCGTGGGTAGATTTCATCAAAAATGCATGATTTCTACATTTAGATTTCTAGAAGTCATTGAGGTATATATGAAGTATATACACGAAGGAATCACATGACTTAAAAGTAAATCGGGAGTATCACAGTACTAGAACTCAGGTGAAATGTGATCAATACAGTTAGTTAAAGTGTGACTTTAACACTGATAGCAACACCTGAACCCGAAAGACCAAAATACCACTAAAACAGGGTTCGTAATTTGAATGGAGGAGATGAAATACACTTCTAATACTGTACTTCCATCAATATGCTCAGCTACTTGCTCTCAGCTTCTGCTACTTAACCACGAGAGAGAACAATGCCCTTTAACAAAAAGGTGCTTTAATTATATTCTTCCCAATCTGACTAGAAACTCCCTCTCACCACCCTGTCACTCCTTCTAATATTTGATTCTCAAAATAAGGATTCTACACACCGTATCTTTATTTCCTCACCCTCTATTTACTCCTCAAATTCAAATTCAGTTCCCATACTTATCATTTTACTTAAATTATGTTTGCTGAGATCAATGACCCTCTCCTAACTAGCAAAGCCAGGAGGCACTTTATCAGAACCCATCTCCCAGATTCCTCTGACTCATCTGACTCAGATTTCTCCCCTCATTAAACTGTTTCCTCCCCTGGCTTTTATGACACCACTGTCTGCTAGAGTTCCTCCTCCTTTCCCGAATGCTCCTCCGTTTCCTTGACTTTCACTTAAATATTGACGTTTCCTATCCTCGGTCTTCCTCTCTCCTTACTCTAGTTACTTGAATGATTTCTTCTACTCTCATAGGACTAACTACCACAATCCAGATGCTTCCAACATCTACAACTCCGATCCTGAATTTAGAAAATCCCGACACCAAAAGATTAAACTGCCAACTAGACAACTCTGCCAGATGTCTTGCAAGAATCTCAAACTCATTTTCTCTCAACCTGAATTAGTCTCTCAATTTTTCAGTTTTATTCATAAATTAAATTTACGAATTGAATTATTCATTATAAATCAAGAGGAGATAATAATTACGAGATACTTTAAAAAAAAAAGAGCAAATTTTTACGAACTCTTTTTCCTCCAGTTATGAAAGTAACTCAGTCATTGGCAAAAAATACAAAATACGAAAGGTGATAAAAGCAAATCTCCAACGACAGCTCTCAAAAGCAAGTAATAACAACATTTCCTTCCAGAAAAAGCAATTTTTTAACCATAGTAAAGTTACATACTAGAATATTACACTGGTAAATAGGGGGTGTTATTGTTAACTCTCAATATTTCCAGGCCTTTTTTTTTTTTTTTTTTTTTTACAGAATTCTATTAATCGCCTACCTGAAGTGAGAATCAGTACAATATTTTAAATACAAAAGCACTCCTTTCCCATGCTGTATTTTAAATATTCTAATAAAAATCAATGTTTTTGGCTGGGCATCTGTCTTGCTTATACCTGGACGAGTGTGTGCAATTTACATCGCAATTCACCCATAGTATTTTCCTTTATTTAAAGGAAACCATAACAAAGAATTTACAAAAAAAAAAAAAAGGGGGGGGGGGAGAGAAGCCAAATCTAAAATCTAGATAATTTGGGGTAGATAATTTGTGTTTTGCAAAACACCACAGGAAAGTAACACTGCAACACCCCTTCGCAGCTTCAAAAAGTTTCAGAAACATCACAGATGAAAAGTCCGCTAATCAGTTCCCATCAGACTCTCCAGGCAAAGGAAGGTCGCTTCCGTTTTCCTCCGGAGCCCGGAGCCCACCCGGGGCGGGTCGTGGGGGACGCCCGGCCCGCCCTCGGTCCGGGGGTCCCGCTGAACGGACCCGAGAACCCGGCAGGGAGGGGGCCCGGCCTCGCCGCACAGCCCACCCTGCGCTACGGGGGTGATCGGGGGTGTCGAGGGGCCCTAAGCCTCCCCCAGGCGTCCGGAGAACAGGCGTCGCTGAGGACGCTCGGGAGCAAGTCACCCGGGGCCCCAACCAAGACGACATTAAAAGGAAAAATAAAGTTAAAGGACACGAAAAAAACATGCAGAACAGTCGCTCCACCCTCTGACCCGCGAGGCTGGGGACTCGGGGGCTACTCGCTGAGGCGGGGGCTGCTCTTACCTCCACCCCAACCCCCGCGAGCCCG